TATTATTAGGACCGCAAAATGAGCAAAGCAAGTAATTTCAAGCAAGCCACTGGTTTCCATACTGCCAGCACTGTTGGCAGGAGGGGTGGATAATCAGAAATGGGAACACACTCTCCATTCCACTAGCTGTAAACAGCTATGGAAATTAAAGTTCCCTCTCAAAGTTGTGAACAGTAAAGATGCACAGCAATACCTGCTTTGGGAAAGTCTTGCACCACACAGATGGACCCAGAAACTTTCTGAGGCATCTCCACCAGGTTTTCCTGCCCAAGATCTTCAGCAAGGAAGGAGACCAGACACGACAAGATCTGGATTGATGGAGACAGAAGTCAGGTCCCAGGGCTGTGGGAATAACACCAAGGCTATGAGACCCTGGAAGGGGGCTGAACTAGAAGGACAACAAACAGTGCCTCAAACCCAACAGAAATTTGATTGTGGGAATTGGAAGTGAGGTAATGAGCCCAATTCATCAAAGACTACTGGAGCTGCTGTTCAGAAAATAAAGAGATACACTGGAACTATACAAATAGTTTTCCTTTTCTTAAGGAAAGTCTATTTTTAGTATTAGAAAAATAGGAAGACTTTGTCTAGGAAAACCAACCTGCCCACTGTTAGCTCCAGCTGTGGCACTGGTGGAGTAAATTGTCACCAGTCCCCAAGAGATGCCATCACAGAGTGCCGATTTACCAAATGTTTGCACAAACAAGCTCTGCAACATCAGAAGGTGTGGGAAGCCTGTGCAAGGAAAACTCGTGACACATTCAGTTCTTATTTTGTCAAACTCTCAGCTGAGGTACCAATAAGCATGGAGATTACAGAGATTTTCAACCCAGTGATCAAGGTCAAAGGTCCACACCATGGAGAGATGAGAACACAGGAGTGTTTGTGGTTTGCATACTGTATTTTAAGGTATGTGATGTTTACACTGAGACTACCCAGAAGAGAAGGCAGTATTGGCCACTGGCCTGGAAACATGCAGCTACAGTGGAAAGATAGTGTGTGAGTATCTGGTGTGTGACAGCTGCACTTGACATTCTACAAACCCCTTTACTGCTACAGCTTTGCAAAGAAGAGGGGGCAGCAAGTTGCTCATAAACCACAGCTTCATTTCACTCCGGAAAAGTTGTATGTTATAGTCTCTTTCCACACACCCCCCTCTTCTGTTTGAAACAAAAGCTTGTGATTTGTGATTAAATTTTTAAATCGTCATTAAAACTTTCCATTCCTCCTTATGAAAGAGATCCTTCAAATGTTAACAGCAGGAAGAATCAGCAATGCTGAAGCAAACACAATCCTGTGCCACTCCCTGAGTTACCATCACTGATCGCTTGCAGGGATCAAGCAGCCCTTGCTCACCACCAGCAGCGTTGCAGCATTGCTTTGCAATGGGAAGACCTTCCGAAGCACTGTGAGGAGATAGCATGGGCAACAAAACAAGGACCTGATAAAGCACGGTCATTTTGATGATCTTTTTGTGTCTACCAACCATCAGCAGCTTAACTTCCATGTCCTGAGATGTGCCCATGCTGCCAGTCACGCAACACTGCGAGGCATTCATGTGATGTCTGATATTGCTGAGACTAAGAAGCTGAAGCATTTCTCACCACTATGAAAAGGTCACTGAGATCCTTCCACAAAATGACTAAAAAAAAAATCAATCATATCTGAAACTCAGCATCTCCTCCGTTTCTGATGCCCCAAGCTCCCTTTCATTTCCCATATCTTCTCTGTTAAATGGATATAAGCAAGAACAGAGAAAATTAATCCTAAACTTACTTTCTGTCAAGCCCCACTCAAAAAAAAGGCAGACCTGTCTCTTCCCTGTGTGATTTTGTCTCTTCTTGTCTCTGTCTCCTCCTGTTTGTTCGACATTAATTAAATACAGACCTAGACTGGCCTAAGTCACAAGCAACTAAGGTTGGAGTTCACCAACCATCAGATTCCTGCAATCTTAGCTATGAATAAAATTAAAACTATTGGTAGGTTTAGGAGAAGAAAAAAATTACCTTCTACTGTCTAACCAACTTGTCTGGTCTCCTGACATCTCTTATACGATGCTCTACAGAAGTCTGGTTGTCTGCGTTTTTTCTTCTTCCTTAGTCATATCATAACTGTGGCACTACAACAGAAATTACTAATAAAACATGTTATTAATGCTACTGTTTCACTGACTTGACTTAGGTCCTCAATCTAACAATGACATCTATTGAAAAATATCATTTAGAGGACAAACTACCAAATCAGAACATGCTACAGTCAAAGAGATTCCTTAATTATTCTGATTAACCACCTACTCCCAGTTTTGGAGTAGGTCATCAGTGTAAAACTTACGTATACTGCTCTGAATTATTTATACAAGTGTTGACTTTAAATTAGAGCTTTTCCTGAAGGTCCTGCTTGCGTCTGTAACTTTTCATAATCCAGTAATTGCCATTGCAACTGTTTCAATTGCTCTTATTTGTTACTATGAGAAATAGAAACAGCTTTGTGCTAAACCATACCTAAACACAGAAGCCAGAAACAAATGATCCCTGCCCCAGCTAATTTATTATTTAGGAGACATGAGATGGGGGCACAGGAAAAGGCTGGTTCGTTCTGATTGTACACAGACATCTCCACTGGAGCTACACTTACCTGGTTCCCTCTCTGGCCAAGGAAGTGTGCCCATGCTGAAAAGAGATGCAAGACAGCTATAGCTCTCCGCTGACAATAAGTTTTTATCTTGCCTTAAAATGGTATATTCATTAACAGTTTATTGCAGGCAGCAGAAAGGAATAACTCCCCCAAAGCCATCTCCTGTGACTCCCCAACATTGCCCTTGCCCAGCACAATGGGCAAGCATCAGAAGAGAGAAGGGCTGCTGGTGGTATCTTTCATGTAGTGGTGAATCACAAAGTCCTTCAGCAAATAAGAGTATGAAGAGAAAAAAGGAGATCTCTGAACGGTGACACAGGGTCTGAATGTGACAAAGGAAATGGTGGCCCTGCATGGAAACCAGCTCAACCCATGAGCCACGAGGACCAAGATCAAGGACACCTCTACACGCCAGAGAGGAATTTCTGGGCTCCAGTTTGGTACCCTGGGCTGATTCATAATAAAATTTACGTTTAGTCAGAGATGAGAGAGAAGTAACATGTCCCTACTAAGAAAGGCACAAGCCCTTCCTGGGTGATCCTTTAATTGTACAGGTTCTCCCAGCAACTCTATCAGCACATCTCTGAGGACACGCACTATGTGCTGTAGTTAAGCATCCAGAGTCTACAGCAGCGGGAACCTAGTCCTGACAAACACTGGTCAATCCTCATTTGCCAGCATGTTCACTTCCATTTGAACCATACTGAAAAAAAAGGAATCAGGGATTTTCCTGCTTTGGTGTTGGGAAGGTTGTGCTTTTGAAAATGCTTCTGAAATTTCATTTCCCGGCACCAAGTTGTAATAGTGATGGAAGGGGTCGGGGGGGTGGAGATAGACGGGACTCACATAACAATTCTGACGGATGGCCCGAAGCAGCTCACTTCAGCATCTCAGAAAACATGACTCAACTGTAGTCATCTACAAGGCAGGCCCACAGTTTCAGTTCCTTGTCTACATTCCTCCATCAGCCCATGAAGACAGGCTCTTCCCAAGAGCAGCTTATCCCATTATAAGGGGGAGGATGAATTCTACTTTGGATAAGGAAAATAAACTGCTCACTGAATCCAGGAGGAGTCTACGCAAGTAGCGTCACTTGATGTCTCATCTGGAGGTGGCTGGAGTGCTAAGAGGTGACCTTTAGCTCAAGTCTGATATTCACATTTGCTTGACAGGATTTAGAGATCCAGATCCTTGCAATGTTAATTAACTGACGAAACCTATTTTTTCTTTATTTTGCCAAAATCTTTTCTATTTTAGGTAGACATCACAAGTCTCTCAGCCTCACGAAAGTCTAAATTTCACACATCTCAGCAGGCCTAACAGCAGCTTTCCTCTCACCAGCATGCTGTGATGTGAGTAAACTCAGTTCCTAAACCATTTTCTGTAACTCATCTCTAAGTACCAGCCAGAATAGCAATGACATCAAAGTCATCAGCATCTGGTTTCTGACACACCCAGGAAAAGGGGGCTTTCTTTGCAAAGGAGTAGTAGAAAAACACCTCTCACAGAAAAATAATCAGCAGGAAAGCCAGGGAGTGCCAGCTAAAGAAATAAATAATACACCATCCCACTGCCTCACAGTCTGGTGAAACTGTTGCTACTGTATGTGCAAAGCTCCAGGAAGCATCACCCGTACCCTGTGCAAGTGGTCACCTGGAGGCAGCAGCACGGGCTGTCTCTGTTGAAGCATGAAAGGAGTTTTTTCAGCAGGGCGGAAGCCCCTGTGGTTAGAGAAGAAAACAGCAACGTGTTAAAAAAGATTAAAAAATGCATACCGCTGGGTCACGGGGCTTTCTCGGTGGGTTTCAGATCACAGACCACCTGCCTTCCACAAAGCAGCTTTTGCAGAACAATTGTAAAGAAGAATTGCAAAGAGAACAATCAAGCACCTGAAAAACTCAGCTGTGCATCAGCAATGCATGTGCTTGGAGATCAATAGTACATATGGGTGTATGCCATAAAACACCCCTGTCTTGCTTGCTGGGTAATAAAATACAGTGTGCTCTGCCATCCACATGAGACCCCTTGAATGCGTGCAAGCAAAGGCAGCAGAACCCCTGCCAAGAAAGGCAACCTGGGGCCTGCAGCCAAAGCACGGGGCTTGTCCGTGACTTCTGAAGAGCTGGAGCTGCTGTGAAACCCCAGACGGCTGGAGGGCATCAGGCTGTGGTGGCTGGTCCTACCTCAGGCACGAGCATCATCAGTCTGAATCTCTAGGGAAGTCATTGAGGTAATATCCTTGAAGCACCGTTGAGAATTGATAACGATAAATGAGCCCGAATCCTGGATAAGAGCTGAGTTTCTTCAAAAATCTTTTGGGTGTTTTTTTTCCTTCATTTTGTCGCAGAATCCGAATGCCGTCTCTTTACTCAAGAGGGTCCTGATGACATCACATCCTCTCCAAAGAGCGACGCAGCCTCCCAATTCAAGTGAGAAAGATCACTTCTGCTCCGCCGCACCGTCCCCGAGGACAGTCACATCTCAGAGATGGCCGGGTCCCCTGCGCTGCTCCTTCTGCTCTCTCTGGGGCTCTGTGAGTATGGACACAGGGTTGTGCATCACCTTCACCAGGAGGGACAAGTAAAACCCTTCCAGCGAATCCAAGAAATCGGGCTAAATAGCTGAAGGGAAAATAAAAAGCAAACCAAGGCTGACTTTGAGGTTTGCTCAGTAATTGTGGAGGTGAAGGCGGCATCACCTTAGCCAGCACAGGGCAACCAGAGGGGAAGGGAGCCTGGTTGGAGAAGTGGTTCTGGAGGGGAGCGGGAAAGGGAAAAGAAATGGAGTTTAGCAGTCAGTGGTTTTAGGGAATCATTTCAGATAAGCTGGGAAGGGGTAACATACCTGAGAGGGCAGCTGAATGGCTTTTCTGAAGGGCAGCACCTACCTTTAAAGCTCAGGTGGCTGATTGCTGAGCACACTTCGTGCACAATCCCAGCAAGGACTCCAACAAAGCCTTCAAGGTCCTCCCTTTGCATTTGACCTCGTACCCTGTGGACAGGGAATGAGAGGGGATCAGGCTCCTCTCGAGCAGTTCCCGCGAGGATTTCTCTCCCACAGGCTGCCCTGGGATCCATGGCCAGAGGTATGAGATAAAGGTCAAGTTTCAGAACAGCCACATCACGCATCCCCGGGTGGGACAGAGGCTGGAGCTGGAGTGCCTGACCACCAATGATGACAGTGGCGTATTCTGGGTCCGCCAGAACAAGGGTGGGACCCTTCATTTCATTGTCTTCATCTCCTCACTGTCCCGGACCACCTTCGAGGGGAATGAGAGGACATCCACACGCTTCGAGGCGAGGAAAGACGGCAGGTCCTACCGGTTGGTAGTGAAGTCTTTCATGTCCCGGGATGAGGGGAACTATTTCTGCCTCATGAACATCAACCAAGCACTGTACTTCAGCCCTGGCCAGCCTGCCTTCTTCCCAGGTCAGCAACACCTCTACCCAACCTCACTTAGCTTTGCCAAAACGCCCAGCACCTCCTGCCCGTACCTTTTTTAATTAGTCGCCTCTCCCACAAACCCCGTTTTCCCTATGTGCTTACCCAAGGCATCTGGTGACCAACATACCCATTCTCCTGACAGAGGCTCCCTGCTTGCTGTCTTTTCTCATGGTATCACTCCTGCCCAACGGTAAAGATGATCGGGCAGACCCAGCATCACTTCCCCATCCCCACTTCTCTATCTCATTCATGGCTCTGAAGGGATAAAGCTAAAACAAAGTCCACCACCACTCTCTCCTTCCTTACTTCACACAGACTCCTAAGAGTTCTACCAACCTCAGGGTACTCAGGCTTTCTGAAACTGATGGCAAAAAGCAAGAAATAAGGAGTCTGCAGCTCCTGATTGAGTCTTGTGAGACTCTTTTTGGGGAAGTCCCCCTGCACCTGAGCCCTGCACTGGCCCTAGGAACTGGCAAGGGTGGGAAAGCAGAAGGGCAGGAGAGAGCTATTTTATTTTATTTCCCTATATGCTGTATTCATTCCTTTTCACTTACAGTCACCACCACAGCAGCACCCACTGCACCAGCACCCACCACCCAGAGTGCCATCACCAAAAAGGACCCCTGCCTGAAGACCTCGGATTCAGGTAGCCTGGCTGCGGGGAGGGAGAGGGGATGAGCTGGGCTCCGGTCTGCTGATACCAAGGGGGAGGCTGCAGGCATTTTAGGATGAGGTGGGAGGGAAAATTCTTAGAGCTTTATTAGAGTTGGATAACTGGGTACGTGCAGCGGGGAAGGTTAAACCCCAATTTTTAATCTCATGTAGGACAGGCTAAGGACGACTTAAAAAGCATGAGGATGTCTCATGGCTGGGTAACATGGGGAAGAGGTGGAGGGAGAGCAGAGCCTCAGGGGTTGGCGCTGGTTTTAGCCTGGGCAAGGGACATGAGAAAATTTTGGCAACATGTCCTCCCTCAAGTCCCCAGGAAAATGCCGAGCAGAGCAGCACTAACACTCTCTGGGGGGGCTGACACCCATGCTGTGCTGGTGGACAGCTCTGGCACCCACCTCTGCCTTTTCAGGCCAGAGGAAGCCCTCTGCTCCACTGCCGGCATCGCTGAACACCAGATAGGTCCCTTGGCTCCACCAGATCTGGTCGTAACACCAGCCATGAGCATCTGGTGGACCTTTCCTCTTCTCTATTCCTGCAGAGACCATCAGGGAGAAAGAGATGAATTTCTTCTGTGACATCTTCATCTGGGTTCCCTTGACAGGCGCCTGCGTCCTGCTCCTCCTTGCCCTGGCAATCACCATCGTGCTGTGTCAACGTAAGACTCACCCGTAACCCCCCATAGATATTCCTCTAGCCTGAAACCACAGTCCTGACCTCCAGAGGAATGGATCTGCTACCTATGTCCTTTACATAGACATCAGATAACCAGGACACAGTCAACCCAAGAGAAGGACCACTGTTAAAAAAAAAAAACAAAAAAACAGTACCTGTATTTTCCTCAACAGTAGGGTTAGCCTGAGGAGTAATTACCAATTTCTACAGAAGGAAGAAAAATAGATTGTAATTAGAGAACATTTATTCTGTCAAACTGTATTGGCTCTGCTGTCCTTAAACTGGTGTGGCAGGGTAGAAAAGGGCTTGTAAATTCAAATGCCAAGACTCAGATTAGCAGTCTGAGCTGGAAGCAAATGAGTAACTTAATTACACAGGCTCAGAGACTGCTACAATTAAAGGAGTAATGCAAAATCTCTGGGTAGGCAAAAGTCTGGTGAAATTTTATGTTTGAAACGTCTTTAAATTACCCTGAGCAAGCAGTGAGTGCAAATGTATTTAAATCAATTTAACGCTTCCTGAAATCAGTTTAACTTTCTGATACCTCCAGGAGTTACACCAATTTCATTAAACTGGCTCAGCTCGTTTGCCTGGAACACCAAAGTGTTTTGCTGCTGAATTAACCTAACTTGATCTCTCTGACCCAGCAGCCTAAAGCTGATGCAAGATGAATTTACCTGCTGACCCAGTTAAAAAAAGTACAATTTTTCAGCATCCTTCAGCCCTGAAAAATACTAATCACCACAGTCTGCAGTGACAGGAAGATATACATTGAAAAACACTGATGAGCATCATCCAAAAATTATTCTTCTCAAGGGAAATAGCTGATGATGCAGCAGCGCACCTGGAGTTGGTCCAAATTCTCTCTGAAGTCACAATGAGCCCTCCATGTGCACTAGGAATCCCCGGTGACCTGCAACATCGTTAACCTACAACCACCACGCTATGATTTATTTCTGCCTTTTAATGCTGATGTGAATTATCAGTGAAAAGCCACTAGCTGCAATTAATTTCCACAGCAGGAAGTCCAAGCCCTCAAGGACACATTTTTACCTTGTGTTAAAATTAGTGGCTGGGCGTTATATTTTGCCGAATACATCCCAAAGTAACGAGATCGATGCTAAAATGGAGAAGAGCATCGTTCAACTTGGTTGCATGCTGTGTGGAATCACTGCCACTCACCTGTTGTAGAAATTAAGTGCTGCCAGTGGATTTTCAGCAACATGCCAAAGTGGCTAGAGATATTAAAAAAAACAACCAACCAACCAAAAAAACACATCATCAGTGTTCCCAGGCTGACCCTGCTATTGTTACAGGAAAATTTAATTCATTAAAATACGTCAGTAGACTGCTGGGGAAACATGAGCCGCAGCACTGCTCCCTTGCATGGCTTTCCTTAAAAATAAGCTTGGTTTATCCATTATTAGTCTTAAAGATAGCAAGCTGCTAGGGAATGCCAGCCCCGCCTTGCTGCAGCGTTTCTTTACTGAGCAGAGTTGGTATCTTTGAACTAAAACATTTTATTCTTTATTTTAGAAACCAGAAGACGAAGATGCAGATGTAAAAGGTTAGTAAGTGGCAGGTGTTGACCTTTTTCTCTTAAACTTGGGAGCATCTCACCCGCAAGTGATAAAGCAGCAGGTGCTAAAAAGTGACCTAAAAATTCTTCATCTGATATACAGTGGATGGGAGGGGACTGTGTAATTAAGGGCAAAAAGGAGATATAAGATTCTCTTCTTTGTTTTTTAATATTAAGTAATTCAAATCACTGAGCACTGGCACCGCAGCAGATACTAAACAGAAAGACAGGAGGTGTTTGTGGCAGCCTACAAGCTGCACATTACCTGATGCTTATAACTAACATCACATTTGTGTGCTCCCAATGTACTCCTCCGACTCAAACCTCAGGGTGATGGCACTGCATCCCTCAAACCGTTCATTTGATTTCATCACTGGACCTTTAGGTTGTGCCCATGGACTAGATGCAAGTTACTGCATCCCAAATCCCCCTCTGCACAATTTTGGACCAACACCAACCATGGCTTTATGCACTAACAGTAGCAGCGAGGCTGATGCAGCCTTACATCACTTTCTGGAGAAACAGCAGTGCAGATATGCACAGCTTTAGAGTTAATCTATTTTCTAGGGCAGACAGGAACACTTTTTTTTATGCTTTTCCTCCGGCTTCCCCAACCCACCCATCATCCCGAGGCACCAGGAAAACACTATCAGAATAAGAATTGCAATTTGCCAGTTTGGAACGAGAAACTTTTGTTACTGTAAGTAATGCACATTTTGCTTCTGCAAATCGACCTCCCTGCGGTCATTTTCTCCACCTCGCCTGCTCTGCAGAAAACCACTTCTGCAGTTTTGCAAGCCTTGTGCCGAGCGTGCACACTAGGACTTGTCGCAAGACAGTGCTCTGGCATGAAAATCCCCACTACTGCTCCGGCCAGGCCAGCGCTGGGCTAGCACTTGGGAAAGCTGGTTACAAGAAAGTCTGGAACAATATGTTCACACCTCTGGAGCCTCATTCTTTGCGAATCAAGCATCTCTTAAATCAGATAAATTCAAATTCCTTGTTATACAAGCAGGGGTTTCATAATAGAACAAGCTAATAGTTTTTTAATTGTCCAAATTAATGATCACTGAGAAAAAACCTCTCTCTCCCCACATTAACAGAAAAGAGATCCCTAGAATTCTTTTTTTTTTTTTTTTTTAAGCAGAATGCATCAGAAATAATCGCCTGAGTAATAATAATGTTTAAGGGAAGAGGCACTAAGTGGCAATACCGTCTGCCCTTTGGGCACAATCTTCCTAAGTATATATCGGAATACACCTGCACCCACAGACCTACATTTTTCTTTTACCTGTCTGAAAAAAGGGAACAGCCTGTCATTTTTATCATGGGTATTTATTACATCCAGCACTCTTCTGATCCTCGCCTGGCTTTCAAGTGCTAGATGATAAGGAAGAGCTCTTGCAGCCTTGTTTAGGAAGATGCTTGCATTCTTCGCTTATCTCAATCCCTGTTTCCAACCCTGTGCAAAATGTTCTGTCCCTAAGGGGGAAAAAAAACACACTGCAGAGCTTTTCAATTTTGTACTGATGGAGCGGTTGGGTTACAAGTGCCTTAGGAAATCATCTCATCAAGGACAGCTTTTCTTTGGCAGCGCTAACATGACAGAGCTCTGGTTTAAGCAGTTGTAGCATATTTAAGCTTTTATTTAGAGAGGAAATTCCTGCTGCTCTGAGCAGTTCCCGCTTATTGAAATGAATCTCTTTGGAAGTTAATAGTGCAATTCACTCAATTAAAGAGCGCCTCAGGATCTGGCCTGGGATTCTTGCTGGCAGCCAAAGGACTCATTTTCCACCACAAATTAATCTTCAGTGAAAATGGGTGCCAAATCTCCAACTCATTAAATCAGCATAAAACTATCAGTTGCTGGAGACCAGTAATTTCTGTCATTTTGGGAACATGCTGGTAGTCTAAAAAGCTATCTTTTAAACATCTCTGCAGGAAACTGGTTTGCAACAAGAAAAAGTCCTTCTGAATTGATAACAGCTTTCCCAAGTCCAAAAGAGCCCTGAGCTCTTCTTCATTCATTTCTGAATGCGGAGAAAGGCTTGATGAGAGGACAGGAGTGTGCAGAAGTCAGAGGCAAATTTTTTTTAAAAAAAAAAAAAAAGCCCTTTTTTTAATTGATGTAACAATTGATTAGCAGTGTAATTTAAGACTACTGGCTGACACTAGTTAAAACACTGGCAGATCCTTCACTAGCACGAAGAGGATTTAGGAACACTTTGCAGCCTGCTCTTGGAGGTCCCGGGCTGCAGACCAAGGCTAAACAAGCTGATTAGCAGCCATATATTAATTGACTTCTTGTTCTTCTTACATCAAAGGAAATAAACCTTTTTTTTCCTCTCTAGACCTGCGAATAAGAAGCCCAATGTGGAACCTAGAATGCCAAGACAACACATATAAGCATCTGCACCTTCTGGCTTCTGGATCGTCTTCTTTGAGCTGTGACTGCATAAACCCATCACCTACATTATCTATATTGCTACTACTCCTCATGCACTCTACCCTAACGAATCTGAAAAGACAAGATGGAGCAGACACACATGGACAGCAAACAGGCACTTTTCCTGTGAACTGCGTGCTAAAGCACAGCTCCTTCCAAAACCTGAGGTTTTCAAATCAATTCCTGAGGCCAAATACCACCGCTATTCCCAGTGACAGAGCTCTGTGTTTCAGGCAAAAGAAACAGGTCAGTCCCGATGCTGACATGTATCAGTGATAAGCTGAGCAGAAACAGGATATTAGCCAGACCTTTGCTCAAGGGGGTGTAATAATTCTTTCTAAAATGCAGCCAAAATTTTAATTTGCTGCAAAACAACTTAAAAGTCCTCACTTAACACACCCTCTTTTTATGGTGCCATGTATCTCCTAGGAGCTTTACTGTTTCATCTAATACAACACAAGGCTGCACTGAGAAGGTAAGTATTGATTAAAGAGCCTTACTTCTCAGGTTTTTACAGTCCTGGGAGCTAAGGTTCACCATTTCCCTCTTGCCATCCTTGTTCTGCTGCTAGCCCCACTTCTACTGATTTCAGCAGGAGTTCCACCTGAGCAAGGAAGGTGGGATTTTCTTTCTTTCTGGAAGAAATGGTTGAGTGGTTAAGAAAAAAAAGGTCTCTGTCACTTGCTTTGGTTAAGCAGGACTTTTAGCACATTGACCTGGCACACGTTGATTGACTAAAATGAGCTCTGTTTTTTCAGCTCTGTATTTGATGTATTTCCTTACTACACTTGCAAATTAAGAACTGAGAAACAAATAAAACAATGTTTATAGTCTGACTCAATAATGTTTCTTTCTTCAGTTCCTAGCCTCAAAAAAGCTAAAATTCTTTATGAAGGTAATAAATGAGGGTTTGAAGAAGTCTTGGCTAAGGGAAACAACCAGTGATTTATATACCAGCCTGAGATTTAGGATGCCAGAGTTCAAATTCCAGCTTACTACTGCTTAAAATGATCTAAAATTATTTTCCCAGGGACTTGTAAAATGGGCCCCATAACACTCCCCCATCCCAGCGACGTACTATGAAGGTGGATGAGATAAAGACTCTGGAGGTATTCAAGTATTCTTGCCAAGGGGCTGATAAAAACCCAGGGAAAAAAGAATGAAAGAAAACTTTTGCTAGTCTCCCCCTCTGGAAACAAGCTGGGAAGGAGAGAAATTCAGAGAGAAACAAAGTTCTTCCAAACTTACTTTTTTTGTAATACTTTAAAAAAATAAGGACTCAGTATCTGAACAGTAGCAGGCAAACACTGAATGACAACTACATGTATCTACACGAAGGAAAAAAAAAAAAATAACAAAAGCCCTAACGTTGAAATATCTACGAATTCACAGACCTTAAGAAACACCAAGACACATTCAGTCCATTAAGGGTGACCTCGTTGCAGCCCCAGGTGCTGAGCTGGGGAGAAGCGAGGGTCCCACAGCACCTGCAGTGCCAGACTCTGCCCCGGCGCCGTCAGCCTCGTCCCCAACGTGCAGCTGTGTCGAGGCAACAAGCAGCAGCAGATCGACTCAGCAACCTGTACCTAGGCAGACCAGGGCCAACCTTCAGCCCCATTTTAATGCATTATAGTTACATAAATCAGTCCAATCTCATCCTACAGTCAGCTCTAACCACACAGCTGAAAAGCTCATACCTTTTCTCTATGAGCATCAATTTTATTATTAGCTTGTTTCAGACTCTCTTGTTGACTTCGTCTGAGCTAAAAGTTTTCTGCACTGGGTGCAGAAACAAAGGCTGGAAGCTGTTAGAGGTTAACAGGAGGCAAACAAGAGTCTGAGATACAGAGTGACTTTCAGAGAGAAGTAGAAAGAATAAATCTGTACAGAGGTTGACTGTTACCTAATTGCAGAGTTGCTCAAAACTAACAGTGGAATAGCTCAAAACTTGCAGAAGCTGATGGGCTAAAGGCAAACAACCTACCAGTTAACACTTAATGGTGGAAAGAACAAGAGCTGATTTACAGTTTAAGCATAACCTCAACTAATAAAGAAAAAAGGGCAGAAGATGGTCACTGAAAGCCCTATGAAGCTGAGGGAGGCATCAGATACCCCCCCAACACAGAGCATCCAGAATTTGTTGGCTTTGTTAGGCACCTGCTTCTACCCCATCCAGCACTTCACGTGCTCTGAAATATAAAAGCCTTAACTCCTAAAGCACTTCTGCAAAACAGTTTACAAGAGGTAAAAACATCACCACCTCACTGGTAGCATTCTCTACAGCTCTTTCCTCACTGTTCTCAATCATTTTATTCTGGGTTTTCACATTACACTAGAGCTTTGGTCTACATCATGCCACATTCCTGTAACCCAGGCTGTCAGGTAATGCTCCTGATCTGGTACTAACCCCCAACCTTAAATCTGCTTCCAACAATTTGTCTCCACACTTCCACAGTGACCTTCTCCTTCCCACTCCAGCTCTTTTAAACCGTTGTGTAGAAAGGTGAAATGATCTGACTGCATGCATCTGCTGTTGTGGCCACAAATTATGCATAGGAAGAATTTCCTGGAAAATGCATTTTCTCTAGCACAGTAGTTAAATGTGGCATGTGACATACACCAAGATTAGATGTATGCTGTTAAACACCGAACAGAAAACCTAGAAAAAGTTTTTCTGTATTTTACTCCCTGTAAACTATGCTGTTCTTTCAAATTTAATTATTATTTCATGATCCACAGGTTAAATATTTATTGCTAGTTTTACTGCAGTGAGAGCCTACAGAGTTCAATCCTGTAGTGAAGAACAGGATATAGGTACTTAAAATTGAAAAAACATTACAATGAGATGAACACACGTACAACAAATTCCTCACTACAGAAACTGCATGAAATGTTTAGCCTAATGCAGGATAAACAGAGCAAAATAATACTCTAGGCACTATAAAACACATGTTATTTGGGCATTACTGACATTACTTACAGCAATGCTTTACTAAGACCCTCGTCCTGCAGTGAGATCAATGCAGCCAAAGCCCTCCTAACAGTGTAGATGAACATTGCAAAGAACTGGAAGCAGTGTATGTTTATTGTTCGGTATTCATTTGTTGTTTGTTACGGGTTTTTTGTGTGGTTGGGGGTTTTTTAAGCTGTGTTCATTTGCACAGAAAATAAACATCTAGAAAAAAAAAAAAATTACAACACTGACAGTTGTAATTACCCTCCTGAATACAGCACAGAATCCGCTGTGCACCGGGAGCTACTGATTTTTGTCCTATAGTTCAGAATTATAGAACACAGTTGATGTCTTTTAACTCTGATGTCAAACTTTGAGATGACTCCTGCCTCCCTCTACAGACTCCTCCTGCTGCACCCCCAACCTGCACTCTGCAGCACCCCGGGGTACACCCTGCTCAGCACAGTGCTCAGGACCCAGCCTGCATCCAGGTACCCCAAACCCCGATAAACACCGACCCTCACACCACTGCCTGCGGCAACAAGGATCTACTGCTTCAAGGTCTGCTTGCACAGCCAGATGCCTTAAAAGAAACCAAAACCGAAATCTCATCTTTGAGGATAACTGGAGCCTTCATTCACAAAGTCATGAACCTAGCAAGCTCCCAGCAGTTTCAGCACTGCAAAGGACTTTCATTGCAATAGCGCTGCCTGTACAGCACATTCCCTCGTCAGAGGGTGCTTCACATACCAAAAAAGCCAAGTTAACAGACACATTACAAATTCTCCTGTCCGCCAAACTTCTGGACGGTGTCATCACAGCTGTAAGCTATGAGGGCATGGCTTTTTACTGGGTATAATCAAGCTTATAAAAAAACATGAGTGTTCACTGAACTCTAGTAGCAGCTGTCAGCTTCTTTCTTGCTATTACCCAGGTTTTATCTTCTTTATCTTTGTTCACATCTTTGCACCTCTTTAAAATACAGATCTTGGTGGTCTCTGATTTTGGTTCTTAAATCTGTAGACAACCAAAGGGATGTATCACCCAAACTGCATATAAAGTATCAGTAGAACTATTATCCCTCTGTACAATTGTAACAGACATTATGAGTTAGCATAAACCTATTAAAGAATTAATTTTAAAATCATATTCTACCTGTGGACTTTCTGTGAGATAACACCAGTACACGTTCACGGACTGCTGTCGGTCCCAAGATACCCAGGGGTAAAAATTGTTCATCTGTCTCTCCTTACATGGGCTCTTCTATTTGTGGAACACTGCAATTTAAGTATGTTTTAGAACTATACCAAATACACTGGACTGAACTGTGATTCAGCGTTTGCTACATAACCAGCAATATCACCTCTGCAGAAGGCCAGAAGGCTGAGGGAACCAGAGGAGGCAGCTCGGGGCATGCGCCAGAATAAGCCCTTGCTCTTCTGTAGTTACTGCCCTGAGTTTCACATTGAAAACCCCAGAAACGAGGAACACCTCACGGGCAGACACATCCATGAGACGTTTGCTTTAAACCATGAGACTGACTTCACCAAGAAGCCCTCCAGCAGAGGTGGTGACACAGCACAGCTCTCCAAAGCAAGACTGAGCTTCCTTCACCAGCTCTTCCTCCCATGCAGTCTCACGATTGATTCATCTTCCAGTTCAGGTCAGCGGTAGCCAGCACCACATCTCGGATTTAAACCTATAGCTCAAGAAGGCCGGTTAAGATTTCCATTTACATGTAGAGCTGAGGAACAGTATTCTTTATAATCAGCTTAAGACTTGGATTTTCTTCACAAGATATTTACCGCAGGACCCCTACTGCTAAAGAGCAAAAATCAAATCACATCTCTTACACCAAAACCTTAATAACCAGATGCAAATATCAGTGCAGCAGTGAGAAGGGAAGGAGAGCAACTCCAGCCCTGCTGTAGAGGTGAATGACTAACACAACATCAAGCAAGAAGGCATGCAGATGCCTCTAGCAAATCAAGCAAGTTCAAAGCAAACTGGCTGGGTTTGTGGCTGAGTAGCAATGCCTGGGCAAGAAGCCTGGGCTGCTGCTTGCACTGACAAAAAGAAGAGG